CAGTTCTCAGTACTAGAAATACCTGTTGGGTCACGTCAGGAACACACGATGAACACGTTTCCTCTCTGAATGTGAATATGACGTCACGGCAAACTCATGTTTACTGCAGCAACACAACAACACTGCTCTGCCTGAGCGATGAGGAACTGTAAATCATTACTCGTCTCCTCTGCTGGTCTTTGCATGTGTGTTTAATGAACATTAATGTGTGTGTGTGTGTCGGAGTTTGGGTGTGGTGTGGTTTCTGTTGTGTATCTGTGAGTAGAATCTGTTTCCAGTCATGTCACTGGAACACAGTCAGGAAAAGAAAGTTTATGGTGGATGAATGAGTGGAAACAGACAGAAACTGGAACACAGATAATAACTGCTCTTCTAGTGGATGATCTGGTGTCAGAAGTGTCTCTATGAAAGGTGAAGGCCTCTAGATTTTGCTGATTTGAGCTCAATAAATCTGATCATGTCTTGATGTTGACTGATTTGATGAGGACAGTGCGCTCTGACTCTGCTCAGACTAAAGTGTCATCACTGAACCTTCAATAATGTCCAGTATAGAATATAAAGTCCTGCTGCAGTGGAGACAGAATGAAGATTGTGTCTGACTCCATCATGAGCTTGGAGGACTGCATCCATACATCTCTGACATGACTCACATCACTGATTAATAAAGTCATCTGGAATGAAGAAGAAAGCTTCAGCAGGATCCCAGAGTTCATCAAGAGTCTTTGTGTTCATCTTCAACACCTCCTCCTTCATCAGCTCAATAATGTTGATGTCTGGTGACTGGGCTGGCCAATCCTGGAGCACTCTCTGCTTTCAGGAGCTTTGATGCGGAGGCTGAAGTATGAGCAGGAGCGCTATCCTGCTGGAGAATTGTCCCTCTCCTGTGGTTTGTAATGTAATGGGCAGCACAGATGTCTTGATACCTCAGGCTGTTGATGCTGCAGATCTCTCCATACTGAATGAACACCAAACCATGACTTCTCCTTCACCAAACTTGACTGATTTCTGTCAGAATCTTGCTCCATGTGGATTCCAGTAGGTCTTCTGCAGTATTGGTGATGATTAGGATGCAGATCAGCAGATGATCCAGCAGAGGAATCCACCTTCTGACACTTTTACACATCATCAACTAGAAGTCCAGTTATTATTTGCAGCTCGTACACCTGAGATCCACGACAAAATGTTTGTCAGGTAGTGTAAAGCTGGCAACATGTGCTGCAAACTCCATTAATGCAAAGTCCCTGAAACACACATTTATATCTATGAAATCATCTACGCCACCAAAGCTCAGACTGAAGTGTGTATGGGTGATTCCCAGTACTCTGTTGCAGCCGGAAGGGCATCCACTGTGTAAAACATATGCTGGAATAGTTGGTGGTTCATTCCGCTGTGGTGACCTCTGATGAATAAAGGGACTGAGCTGAAGGAAAATGGATTAATGAATGTAAATATTTCTAATGTGTGTTTTGTGTTTGTCCTGCAGCCAGGGGGCGCTGTCCTCCATCAGAGCCGTCATCAAACGCAGTAAGTCTGTTATTTCTGTCCTGCGCTGCTTGATTTGGTGTGTTTTGTTGCTTGTGTCGGATGTTTGCATGTGAGTTTGTCTTTTGTGTTTGTGTTTTTTGATGGGAACTGTGCAGCGTCTGCCAGAACGAGCTCTCAGAGCGACCATCAGCGAGAACGCAGGTCAGTCCACACCGCTTTACTTCAGGATTTCTGTCTCTTTCTGTTGATTCATGCGTGGTAAATCAATAGATTCTACTGTGATTATTATCTTTTGTCTAACAGTCCTGTCTTGTATCTAAATTTTATGTATTGCTTTGTTTTGATGATCCCTTTAATGCATTTTGTTGAATTTAAGTTACATTACATCTACATGCCAACTAGCTTATCTCATTAGATTATAAGGCGACTATTAGGCTGTGGTTAGGGTTAGTATAAGTTGACATGTACTTGCAAAGTTTCTTTTAGTCAGTTAAATGTCTGTTAAAGGAGCAGTATCAGCAGATATGAAGCAGACAGTCTACTAATACTCAAATGAGAAGTAATTAACATTTCCTCTCTCCACCAAAGTAAAGGAGTAAAGTAAAGGAGTAAAGGTAAAGAGAAAGTAAAGAGGCTGAATGGAGGAGGCTCGTTCTTTATCCTCGCGCTGCAGATGCTCTGTTCAACAGTTTTTTTGCTTGTTAAGCGTTCAGCTTTTACACTTTCAAAGTCGCCATGTAAATAGCAAATGCACCATGGAGCAACGCAACTGACTCTTAAAGGGAATGGGAGACGAGACTCTGATTGGTTTAATGCATGTTACAGTGCTTCCGGAAAATATTGATAGCGCTTCACTTTTTCCACACTTGTTTATGTTACAGTCTCATTCCAAAATAGATTAAATTGATTGATTTCCTCAACATTCTACACACAATCCCCCATAATGTCTATGTGAATAAAGAGTTTTTGAAATTGTTGCAAATTTATTAAAAATAAAAAACCTGTAAAATCAGATGTACATCAGTATTCACAGCCTTCGCTCAATACTTTGTTGATGCACCTTTGGCAGCGATTACAGCCTCAAGTCTTCTTGAATATGATGCCACAAGCTCTGCACACCTGTCTTTGGGAATTTTGGCCCGTTCCTCTTTGCAGGACCTCTCAAGCTCTATCAGGTTGGATTAGCCTGGTGCTGAGCGCTGCCTACTTTTCTCCAAACGTAACGCCTTGCGTTCACTCCAAAGCAGGGCTGCAAGATTCTGGCTAAAACAAGAATCGTGATTTATTTATTTTTTTTCTTAAAATGAAGATCACGATTTTCTTACAATTCTGTAATGTAAAATAAAGGTTAATATGAGTAGGCTATTATTATTGCTATTCTCAAACATATAGTAAAACAACAACAATAATACAAACAACAGAGTCACTGATGCAATCCAAGACCAGCGACGAGATGATCCAAAGGTTTCCTTATCCTGGACCAGGCCGTATCCTGAGCAGCTGCTGTGGTGGTCATGGAGGAGTGGAGAGCATGAGACGGATTCCTGCGACGCTCCAGGGACTGACGAGTCTTCGCTGAGGCCAGCTTTCAGCCTCCGCTGCTGAGACTGGAGCTCTGCACAAGACTTTTGGCCATTGGAAAAATTAAAAAGGTCATGCCCAACTAAGTCTGGTTTCTCTCAAGGTTTTTTTTCTTCACTTTTGCCAAGCGGTGAAGTTTTTTTTCCCTCTCCGCTGTCGCCACAAGCTTGCATGGTTTGGGATCTGTAGAGTTGTGCATCGATGGGTTGGCTCTTCCGTGTTTTTACTCTCAGTAGTGATTATTAAATCACACTGAACTGAGCTAAACTGAACTGAACTTCAACTCTGAAAACTGAATTACACTGTTCCAATTTACTATGACCTTTTATGTGAAGCTGCTTTGACACAATCCACATTGTAAAAGCGCTATAGAAATAAAGCTGAATTGAATTGAATTGAATAATATTAGGCCTTTATGTAGCTCTACTGTAGGTTAAAATGCTAAATTTTGTATTGACCTTATTCTAAAATGCGGAAGTGCGCCTGTTTTCGCGATTGTCTTAGAACTTCAGATTCAGTCGCCTATGGGAGAAATGACTAGGAATAATAAACGGCAGAAAATGGCCAAACTACTTGCTCAACAAACAAATGTTTGCATGACTACACAGACCAAGTAGCATATTATAATAAGAAAATATTTAATTGCAACATCAAGCAGCGTAACGAGCAGTTGTTAACGTCAAAAAATGAATGGAAGTGAATGTGACCGGAAGTCGCGAGACAAAAAGATTCAAATGGCAGCGCCCGCTCGTCAGCTGAGAATAAGGTGAATAGACTTGGAATGGTGGACTTAAACAGAATTCATATTTGTCCTGTTTGTTAATTCACAGTAAAGTGACGACATCAGAATACAACTATTCATAATGATAAAGTTGAATTATTATGTTGGAGACATGTGCTTGTCATTTGTCATTGACAACATTATTAAATCATTTTTTTCACTGGTAAAATCAGACATTTGTCATTAGCAAATTCCCTCCTGCATTTATACAACATTATACATGCTAGAGTAGTTATACTGACACTGGTAAACATTTAATTATTCAGGCACAACACTCTGTGTTCGCTATGAAACAAAAACATATTAAATGCTTGGCACAATCATAACTCTATAATGCGATATGATTATTTAAATGATGTGCACGCTTTCGGTTTCGTTTTCACTGCTAAGTG